AAAGGTCCTTGTTTCCATCTTGCACGACTCAAAGGGTCAGCAATCAAATACGTGAATATGTTCACAGTAATTATCGCCACCATCACTTGTCCAGGGATCTATTGATCACACATAACTGACCGGTGCACCACCACGAGCTGTCGTGATCACTTACAGAGTAGTCAGTGATAGATTGTATCTTACTGCTACACCTCCTCTCATCACTGTCTCACAGTACGCATGCCGCATATAGAGCCACACTTTCATCTCTCACATCCGTGTTCGAAATACGCATTATGTCGGAAAGCACACATTAAATCTCCAAATCATCATCATCATCATCATCATCATCTCTATCATACACAAGAACAGCTGGTCAGCAATATTAGCAACATTTCACAAAACCGACGCCATTTTGACATCAAGATGACCACCTGGCAGTCAACCTGAATTTTGGATTTGAAGCCGTGAAAAAACTTTAAGGCTTCATTTGATTACGAAGATATTCATAAATGGTTTACAACTCTGTCAAAATGGATATAATATTATGCAATGGGCATTTTTAAATATCCTATAATGACCAGCTGGCAGTCAGCCTGAATTTTGGATTTGATGCCTTGAAGTATGTTCAAGAGGTTTCAAGGTGAGGTTTGGTTAAGATGACATGCACAAAATGTCCATCAGCTGCACTTTTCTGTTGAGATAAAAACTGGTTTGGTTTAAGTTTGCTGCACATATGAAAGTATGGGTCACTTGACACTATACAGAGAGATAGCACTGGACATCATCTCGATGAGGGCATCAGTCTTGTAATCGGCTCAATTCACCCTGTAGAACTGTGTCCCTTGGGCCAGACAATCCAGTGATTGTGGGTTCAAATCCCACCGATTGAGTTTCTAGGTTTGTCAGCACCATATCTGCGCTCGTGACTTTCACAAAAGAGTGAATGAGTGAATGTGTTTAGTTTTACAACGCTCTTGGCAACATTCCAGCTGTATTGGTGGTGGTCTGTAAATCAGCAAGCCTGGACCACACAATCCAGTGATGAACAACATGAGCATGGATCTACGCAATTGGGATATGATAACATGTGTCAACCAAGTCAGCGAGCCTGACCACCCGATCCCGTTAGTCGCCTCTTACGACAAGCATGGGTTACTGAATATCAATTCTAACCTGGATCTTCACAGGTCAAGTTTCACAAAAGAGGTAGACATGCGAGACCTGACAAAACTTTGGACTTTCCTGAAATATAAAGCTGACAAACTATGATAAAGCTGTAATACTTTTCAATACTGTATTAAACCAAAACCAACCACTCAATCATCTTGACTCAAAACCAACAGTTAAAAAGGTCAACTTCTTAAACTTCAGCATGTAAATGGGGAAGTTAGAAAGTGAAGAAATAAGTGAGAGTTTGAATTGGGTTTCATGCTGCATTTAGCAATATTCCAGCAATATACAGACGGGGACATCAGAAATAGAAGGAAATATGTGAATGTTATTTTAAGATAATCAGACAGCATTCCACCCACATGAAGGTTGGAGCCAGACAAATGAATTTGGCCACAGGATTAAGGACTCACTTTCTCAGGATATGATAGCACACAATGAACCATGTCACAGAGTCAGTGAGTGAGTGAGTTTAGTTTTACGCCACTTTTAGCAATATTCCAGCAATATCACGGCGGGGGACACCAGAAATGGGCTTCACACATTGTATGCATGTGGGGAATCGAACCCGGGTCTTCAGCGTGACGAGCGAACACTTTAACCACGAGGCTACCACACCGCCCCGCCAAGTCACAGAACCTGATGACAAGATTCCTTGTAAGTCAGCTCTTAATGCAAGCATAAGGAATTAGGAACCAGCGCCACCTGACTCAAATCCCCCTTGGGTATGACCTGTAGAAATAACGATGTGACGTTAAATATTAACTCACTCACTGTAGAAATAAATGTCATCTATTGTACGAAACTGTTACAGTACACAACAGTATATAATTTACTTAGCTAAAGGTTCTAATCAAATGGAGACCGCCTCCGTGGTGTAGTGGTTAGAGCGTCCGCCCGGAGAGCGGAAGGTCGAGGGTTCGATCCCCGACCGCGTCATACCAAAAGACGTAAAATATTGTACTTGTTGGTCCTTGCCTGGCGCTCGGCATTAATGGGTACAACAAGGACTGGTCGGCTCGGAGTCAGTATAATGTGTCTGAGTGGGGTATTCATGCTTCACTGCGGCATGGTATCTCCGTGGGCTAGCACTATAAAACCAGCTTAAGTCTGGGCTAGTACAAGCAGCTGCACATACACATACACATGCATGCACATTGTCATATCAGCGAAATATTCTCAAGCACGACGTTAAACCCAATTTCACCTCTTCTCACCTCACCTCTAATCAAATGGACATTTGTCATTTGGGTCATGCTTAGTTCAGTTATATCTCAATAACATACACCTGCCTAATATATATGTCTCTATATGTCAGTGTCAATACTGCTTGAGCTGCTCGTATATTCTGTATGACAGGTACACAGTTGTATTCCAGGGCCTTGAATGGAAAGAGAAAAGTTATGGTAGTCCAACATATATGCTGACAGGCTCCAGAACTCAAGTATTTGCCTGTGATTTAAGTTTCACTTAGTGAACGGCACAAAACATTTAAATTGTGAATCGTAGTAGTGACGAGAACAACACATGATTTGATTTCCAAACAAGCCCCCAAAATGGGATTTTTGTTCTTTTACAAAACTGTATGACGGTTAAAGATGAAAACAAACAGTGGGCAGCATATGGTCGAGTCAGTTAGTATTAATAGGCAGAGATGAATGTGATGACAGTGACTTTATTTTGTACTTTGTACTAAATATTCTTCTCTGTAGGACAAGTTTGGTTTCAGTAACTTTTTGAGGCCTGTTGTCATGGAAGCAGTGTGTATAACCCTGGTAATATAACATACAGCTGACCAGACAACTGTCATACAAGCAGTATTTATTGGTCTGACTCCTAGCCCCTGGAGAATAAATAAAAAAGAGTCCAACTCAAGTTTAGAATGATTGTGCAAGTCTACATTTCTTCAGCTCTAGGATTAATAATGGTACTATTTACTAAATATTCTTCTCTGTAGGACAAGTTTGGTTTTAGTAACTTTTTTAGGCCTGTTGTCATGGAATGAGTGAGTGAGTGAGTTTAGTTTTACGCCGCACTCAGCAATATTCCAGCTATATGGCGGTGGTCTGTAAATAATCGAGTCTGGACCAGACAATCCAGTGATCAACAGCACGAGCATCGATCTGCGCAATTGGGAACCGATGACATGTGTCAACCAAGTCAGCGAAACTGACCACCCGATCCCGTTAGTCACCTCTTACGACAAGCATAGTCGCCTTTTATGGCAAGCACATGGGTTGCTGACGACCTATTCTACCCCGGGTCTTCACGGGTCTGTTGTCATGGAAGCAGTGTGTATATCCCTGGTTATATAACTTATAGCTCACCAGACTCCTAGACCCTGGAGAATAAATAAAAAAGAGTCCAACACAAGTTTAGAATGATTGGGCAAGTCTACATTTCTTCAGCTCTAGGATTAATAATGGTACAGGGTTCCTTTTGGACTTTTTATACATGTTTAGTTGTTGTAAATACATATTTTAAACCATGATAACCTTATTTCTGGGACTAAATGTCAGTCCACATAGTTCATATCCCTTGGTGCACATAGCTGACTAGCCAACTGCCACAGACAAAGTCTTTATATCTCTGGGTGTACCAAGCTGAACAGCTGACTGTCACGGCAGACGTCTTTATATCCCAGGATATATAAGGTTGACCAGCCAACTGTCACGAAGCCATGTCCCAGCATGGCTAGATAAATGACCAGCAGACAACCAGTTATATGGAGTCTGAATGATGGCTGACCTGGGACCTGCAGCACTCCAGAGGGACAGACAGGAACCAATATCACCCCACAGAAGTAATCACTAGGAATGAGAAACCTGTGGAGACCACAGATTAATGTTTCCAGTGTTGCCAATAGCATGCATGATTTCGGTCTGCTTCATGGTCTAAGAGCTTCGCATGGTCGTGCTCAGAGTAGCAATTTCTTCCTACATAACACTGCCTGTTATGTAGAATGGGTAAACATTTATAAACTGAGTATGTTTATCATCATGATTTACAAAATTAAAAATATGGCATTTATCAAAACTTTATAGACAGATTGTTTCCCCATTTCATTTGAAGATTAACGGTGGGCCATATATCATTTCTGATAAGATGACCACCTCTTCCACTAAGACCTTAAAAGGTTTTTGAGAAAATTTGTGTTTTTAAATCAAAGATGGCCACCTGGCTGCCATATTGAAAGAGCAACTATGATGTCCTGAATTAATTTGAACCCAGTTATAGAAACTACTATCCACACAAAATTTCAGCTCAATACATCAAAAGTTTTTGAAGAAGTTAAAACAAAGACCACATGGACATAAATACATATGTACCACATACATAAATATTTTAAATTTCTCATCTCTGAATGACTATTAGAAAGTACTGTACATTATCCCACAGTTTTCACTTCCATAATTTATTCAGAGATTTTTTCTATTTCCAATCTACTTTCATTTACAGTTCATTAGAAAGATTCAGCTGTCTCCTTCACATAGTCCACAAACATTTCAATCACCACTGATCGTAATTACATACTACTGAATACCCCTGAAGATTTGGGTTACAATGATTGGTCTTCAGCAAACCATGCATGTTGTGAGAGGTGACTAATGGGATCAGGTGGTCAGGCTCACTGACTCAGTTGACATGTCATCGTATCACAACTGCGTAGATTGATGCTCATGCTGTTGATCACTGGCTTGCTCAGTCCAGACATGATTATTTACAGACTGCCGTTATATGGCTGGAATATTGCTGAGTGCGGCGTTAAACAACAAATATATTGCTGAATCATACTCTGAGTAAACTTAAACCAGGGGGAGAACATGATCTCAAGGCATTGTCAGACCTTCAGCGGTCAGTGATAGTGGACATCTACTTAACATCTATTTCAAGAGAGCTTTATAACAATTGACATACCACTCGCATTTTGAAATGACCCACATTTATTAAAACTTTCCCTCATGGATTAAAAAGTTGCTATCATCTGCATATTGTGGACTATAATCTCTGGTTTGACATTTGTTCAGCACTTATTGGTGTTGATAATTACAAAGGCCAATTACAGCAGGGACGGAGAAAGAACTGAGCGTTAGAGTATTTTAAAATCAATTTAAATTTTTAAATTTTTGAAAACAGCAAAAGAATACTGCCAAGGAATGAGTAATATTCCAAAAGAAACGATGAAATTGCATTTACATTTCCTCAGCTTCAAGTTGATTTTCTGTGCAAGGATTTGAAAATTCACCATTTTAAACAATCAATTTCTGCACATGAACTACAAAAATAAAACATACACATAAACCATTCTAGAACACAAGCCAAAACAGAAAATAAACAAGAAATCTTGCCTTAAAATGTAAATATCGGCTTTAAATTCCATAAAAATCTGCAAATATTTTGTGTTTGTTGTTTAACAATTTTCCAAGGTTGTATTTCAGGAACAATCAATCCAGTGATTGATATTATGATAAACGATCCACAGAGTCCAGTAAAGGAAATTCTCAGAGTTCTTGTACAGTGAGAATGCTGATAAACTATGGATCAACACCAGAGAGATTCTGGTCTTAGAACACCTACAGAGGCAGATCCTTGCATACCTTACTAACACAGCTCTGCACAGAGCATTCCAAAGCCTTCGACCACTGAGCAAGTCAGCTATGCTTTCAGTGTTATCTTGTGCAGCCCTTGACAGTCTGAGTGTCTGTGTACAAGTCAAGTGTTAGAGATAAAACAAAATTGGCTTCAGTGAATCCCCCAGGACACTAAGAATCGAAACACTCTGCAGCTCCCGCTCCAAACTGTCTTGAAAAATTTAATTACTTACATTAGCCGTCACACTGTCAGTGTGAAAATTTCAGCCCCTTGAAAAACTGTCGTTTATATTTATTTTAACGTCTTCCATATATATAATTGCAGTTAAATTAATACAGAATATATTGTCATGGTTATTGTTTGGTCATTGTTTCATGATGTTAGTTGATTATTTATCAAGAGACCTAATTTAATCATAAACATGAAGGCCAATGTGTTATTTGCCTCAGTTTTAGAGTCCCAATAGAAAAGAGTACGGTGAATATGTCTGTGGCATTTGGACATCATTGGTTAAGGACAGTAACACGCTTATTTCAAAAGAACTAAAATGGTTGGTGTTTTTCTTTGAAGATTCAAAAAGTGATTGTCAAGGGTTATAATCTTAACTGTGTTTACCTGTGTTCAGACATAAACTGGCATCTGGTACTTATGGACAAGAGGTCAATATTGATGAAAGACAACATTCCAATTTTAGAAGCATTAAAACATTCATTTGATGGCTTTTTTTGGTGTCAAATTCAAAATTTGATAATTACAGACTATAATCTTCACTTGTTTGGTTAGTTTACAGCACAAATTATCATATAGCAATTAAAGCTGCACTGGTAGGATGACTGACAGTTGCCATAGAAACCTAAAAAGCCTTGTGAACAGCAACACTATTGCCAATGCATGAGTATGGTCCTCATAAAATCAGTAAAATTACATTTGCATATTCTGTATTCTGGAAGCCTGCCACTTCCACAAAACATGGAAGCAGAATGGGGACAATTTTATGGATATACAAATTCTTTATTCTGTATAGGCAGCGTTTTAACATAGATTCTAATGTCGTTGTCAAGCAAGTAGAATCTTTGTTGAAACGTTATACAGAATAAAGAAGTTGTAAATCCATAGAATTGTCCTCATTCTTCATATCCTCAACTTTTAGAATGCCAATGAAAGTAAAACATGGAAGTGTGAAAACTGATAGTCTTGAAAATGTGTGTCCCTATGTAATTGGCACTGCTCCCATCCTGAAGCTGTGAATACACAATGCATTTCAGAATGTGGTCAAATCAATATATGTTATATTTGGGATAACACTTTCTCAGTAAAGTGAGGTGAGGTGAGGTGAAATTGGGTTTAACGTCATGCTTGAGAATATTTCGCTCATATGACGACGTGCATGCGTGTGTATGTGTATGTGCGGCTGCTTGTACTAGCCCAGACTTAAGCTGGTTTAATAGTGCTAGCCCACTGAGATACCATGCTGCAGTGAAGCATGAATACCCCACTCAGACACATTATACTGATTCCGAAGCCGACCAGTCCTTGTTGTACCATTAATGCCGAACGCCTGGCAGGGACCAACAAGTACCATATTTTAACGTCTTTTGGTATGACGCGGTCAGGGGATCGAACCCGCGACCTTCCGCTCTGGGCAGACGCTCTAACCACTACACCATGGAGGCGGTCTTCTCAGTAAAGTACAGATTCTAGTACATTTTTGGTTGAGTTGCAAACCCTAGTTGAATTTTTGTAAAAGGCATTGAAAAATGGGAGTCATGATGACTCACAGAAAATGTTTTGGGAGTCATATTCTGAAATTGGGAGTCATGAAAATATTTTGTCAATAACATAATTCCAAAATAATTCGAAATAGAGTAAGGGCTTTGAAAGCACATCTTGTGACACTGTCCACTGTTGAAAGTAATCTGATGCAGTGCATGGTTATATTATTTAGTTGGGTTACTTGGGTTCACTAATTTGAAAAAATATTGCATAAACTATGACTCGTATCAAAGTATTTTGAGAGTATTTGACAAAATTGTTGACTCAACATACACAGGAATTACGCATCACATAAAATCCTGGCTTACCTTATCGTTCATGGATAGAAGTTTCCATTTGAGCCAACAACATATTTCAGTAAACATTTACCTCATGATAAGAATACTGTGTACGAATGGATGTGCAAATTATAGCAAGAGACAATTTCTGCTTCTTCAAAACACAAATGTCATCAATGCATGGGTGTACTTCAAAACACATTCTTACAGCAACAACGTCTGCATTTTAGAAATTGACAAGCAGTTGCAAATAACAGTTTTCCTGATACAGCATTCATGGAGCAGACAATGAATTGCATGAGGTATTATATAAAAGGCCTTTTACAAAATGATGAAAAAAAGTAAATTTACTCTTTAATTTAATAAAGACACTCCTCCATCAAAAGTTATTATAAACATGTCAAAAAAAGATGAACTTAATTTTGCTCTTTTTTTTCTACTTTCCTTTTTTTTCAATTCATGGCAACCTTTTGAACAAACTTCTAAACCTGAAGGCTAGTTAAATAATAAAGACAAAAAGTACCCTAAATGAAATTATCAGCGAGTTTATTCCTGAGCACAAGTGGCCTCCATTTATTGAAAAAATGTTTGCATGTAAAAAGTAAAGTTGATGGGCTTTTTCTCCTTTTTGTCATTACAGTTAATCAGATTTCGATAATTGTTAAGTCACTTGTTAAACTTAAATTAGGAATTTTCCAATTTTATGCAGATTAAATAGAAAATTTATGACTCCAACTAACGCCTGGGGCGGCAAACACATTAAACAAGAAGCATTTCCAACCATCTCCCACTTCATCAGTGACGGTGAAATATAATGAAGAGAGTATCCCCCTTACCATAAAACATATAACATCACAAAAAGGTTATCATATGACACAAGAGGAGTAATGCCTTGTTCATTACTCGGGTAAAAGTAATCTTCATACACGCAGAGCTCTCCCACAACAACAAAAACATAAAGATTTCAGGACAAAGTAGGCATTATGGTGAATATCAACCAAATCAACAGTTTAACAATCGTAATATTCCCCTTGGTTCTGATTAGACCTTCCATCCATATTAATATCTGTTAACCCTATTTAAGTCTTACACAAACCATTCTACAAATAATTAAGTACCTCTCACATCATTGTTCTGCTCGCATAATGGCAATTATTCTGTGCTAAGTTTGCAGAGCAACCAGCATAAGCTTTCGCAGATTGGTGGTTGTTGAACTGAAAGATTTCTGGTCACAATCGTGTCTTAGTTTAAGGTTAGTATTGATCGTGGAAAATATTCTGAACTGAAATTGATTATGCCTGAATCCTGTCTAATGCTTATCCACCAGAGTCCAGTGAAGCTCCTGCTTATGCATTTATGAGACAGAAATTACCACTGTAGACTCCTAGAAACTCCGCCAAGATGTCTCAAGGCCTCTGTGGTTAGAATGGTTACTCAGGTCAACGATGACCTTGGCCAATAAAGAGGCCGACAGACAAACATGCTACTTCATCATAAAGCAGTTGGTGGCTATTACTGCATCCATAAAATGAAAGTAGAGAATACAATTGCAGACTACAAAATGTCAATTGTCTGGGTACCACTTCCTGAAGAGCACCTAATCCTCAGGGTGTTGCCTAATAGTGACAGTTTAATGCAAATCTAGATGTTTCATAATCCAAAATTTTATTTGCCAAATTAAGTTATCTAATTTTGAACACAGTGGTTTTCATTATATTTTCAAATTCTCTTGCATTATCTCTCACCATTGATGTATGGTAGATGTTATGTTTCATGTACAAATGTTGAAATCTACATAACAACTTAAATTTCATTATCATTCAAAAAGTATTAAACTTCTCTCATTTTCTTTCCATATGTTCCAGGATTTAAACAATATTCATGCCATTTTAAGAAAGTTTCAAACTTTCTATTAGATATGAAACTGAAGAAGTTTGCAAGTGCTTTCATCAATAAACTTTCCTGACATAATCCAATCAAAAACTAACTTGTACACTGACTTGAAATTTGTCTGTTCTTTGTTAGGTGAGAAAGTTTGTAGGAGAGTTTGAAGGTGACCTTGAAGGTCTGTGAGCGAGTTGCCAGATGTGAGTAGGGAGATGGATGGATGGGTGTTACGGAGGGGGTGGATGACTTACTGATATGGTTGGTGGGTAGATGAGTTCATAAGTAAGTATTGATGAGGTGGTCCTGTGAGTAGGTCTGTGGCAACGTGAGTGCCTGTGAGGTTTGAGCATCATGGTACGTGTGAGGGTGAGTGGATCTGTGAGGGTGAGTCTTGTGTGAGGGTGTGTGAGTGGGTATTTGTGATGGTGAGTCTTGTGCGATGGTGAGTCTTGTGTGATAGTGAGTGGATCTGTGTGAGTGGGTGTATGTGTGAGGGTGAGTCTTGTGTGATGGTGAGTGGATCTGTGTGAGGGTGAGTGGATCTGTGTGAGGGTGAGTCTTGTGTGAGGGTGTGTGAGTGAGTGCATGTGATGGTGAGTGGATCTGTGTGAGGGTGAGTCTTGTGTGAGTGGGTATTTGTGATGGTGAGTCTTGTGTGAGGGTGTGTGAGTGGGTTAGTGTGATGGCGAGTCTTGTGTGAGGGTGTGTGAGTGGGTATGTGTGATGGTGAGTGGATCTGTGTGAGGGGTGGGTGTGTGAGTGGGTATGCGAGAAGGTGAGTGGATCTGTGTGAGGGTTGGAGTCTTGTGAGTGGGTTTGTGTGATGGTGAGTCTTGTGTGAGGGTGTGTGAGTGGGTATGTGTGAAGGTGAGTGGATCTGTGTGAGGGTGTGTGAGTGGGTATGTGTGATGGTGAGTGGATCCGTGTGAGGGTGAGTCTTGTGTGATGGTGAGTGGATCTGTGTGAGGGTGAGTCTTGTGTGATGGTGAGTCTTGTGTGAAGGTGTGTGAGTGGGTATGTGATGGTGAGTGGATCTGTGTGAGGGTGAGTCTTGTGTGAGTGGGTATGTGAGAAGGTGAGTGTTATGTGTGAGTGGGTGTGTGGTGAGTGGATCTGTGAGGAGAGTAGGTGGGTATGAGAAGAGAGTGGAAATGACTCAGTGATCTGTGTGACAGAGTGAATTATTTGATGAGTGAGAGGGTGTGTGTGTGAGTGGAGTCTGTGAAAGAATGTATGAGCCTTTGTGTGAAAGTGGTGAGTGAGAGAGGTGAGTGTAGTGGGTTTATGAGAGAGTGAGTGGTTTATGAGAGAGTGAGTGGGTTTGGTTTTATGAGAGAGTAAGTGGTTTATGAGAGAGTGAGTGGGTTTATAGTTTTTATGAGAGAGTAAGTGGTTTATGAGAGAGTGAGTGGGTTTATGAGAGAGTAAGTGGTTTATGAAGAGAGTGGGTGGGTGGGTTTATGAGAGAGAGTAAGAGGGTTTATGAGAGAGTGAGTGGGTTTATGAGAGAGTGAGTGGTTTATGAGAGAGTGAGTGGGTTTATGAGAGAGTGAGTGGTTTATGAGAGAGTGAGTGGGTTTATGAGAGAGTGAGTGGTTTATGAGAGAGTGAAGTGGTTTATGAGAGAGTGAGTGGTTTATGAGAGAGTGAGTGGTTTATGAGAGAGTTTGTGGGTTTATGAGAGAGTAAGTGATTTATGAGAGAGTGATTGGGTTTATGAGAGAGTGAATGGTTTATGAGAGAGTGAGTGGGTTTATGAGAGAGTGAGTGGTTTATGAGAGAGTGAGTTGGTTTATGAGAGAGTAAGTGGTTTATAAGAGAGTAAGTGGTTTATGAGAGAGTGAGTGTGTTTATGAGAGAGTAAGAGGTTTATGAGAGAGTGAGTAGGTTTATGAGAGAGTGAGTGGATTTATGAGAGAGTGAGTGGGTTTATGAGAGAGAGTGATTTATGAGAGAGTGAGTGGGTTTATGAGAGAGTGAGTGATTTATGAGAGAGTAAGTGGGTTCATGGGAGAGTAAGTGATTTATGAGAGAGTGAGTGGGTTTATGAGACAATAAGTGGATTATGAGAGAGTGATTGGAGATTGGGGTTTATGAGAGAGTAGAGGTAGGTTTAGGGTTTATGAGAGAGAGTGAGTGGGTTTATATGAGAGAGTGAGTGGGTTATGATGAGAGAATGAGAGAGTGAGTGGGTTATGAGAGAGAGTGAGTGGGTTTATGAGAGAGTGAGTGGTTTTTATGAGAGAGTGAGTGGGTTTATGAGAGAGTGAGTGGTTTATGAGAGAGTGAGTGGTTTATGAGAGAGTGAGTGGGTTTATGATAGAGTAAGTGGTTTATTAGAGAGTCAGTGGTTTATGAGAGAATGAGTGGGTTAATGAGAGAGTGAGTGGTTTATGAGAGTGAGTGGGTTTATGTGAGACTGAGTGGGTTTATGAGAGAGTGAGTAAACAAATGAATGAAAATGATTGTGAAACAGTGAATGAGCAGGTCTGTTATGCAGTGTTCTATAAAGCAAATTCTCAACACTGTGACTAATCTATTTTCATTTTAATTCTATTTTTGTTTCACACAAATGTATACAGTTGGTACACTGTTCACAACAATATAGTCCTATTGTGACTACAACGAAAAACTATCGAAACTATCAAATGACGAGTTATAATTCAAATATAACTACAGGTCGTCGAATATATGACCGCTTGCCAGTCAAGTTCTAACATTATATTTAGGGAGACGTCGTCGAAAACACAACCACTCAAGTCCAAAGTTCTAACAACTGTTCAAAACTGCTATCGAAGAAACCTCGTGCAGGTTCAACTCCACGTGTTTCACGCAGTGAAATCTTCCGCGAAGTACATAGCGTTTGCGTGACTGTTCGTATTTCAGAAACATTAACGCACACGAATATTCTACGTTTAATAACACAGTTCTCCTGAACAAGGTCTATGAAAAAGTTTCCCAGAAAGAGTGAGAATCTGTAAGAGAGAGTGAGAGTGGGTTTGTGAAAGGGGAACAGTGATGCGGATGATTAGCTCAGTATACATTAAATCAACAACTTCTTTTCATCATGACAACAAAGTTTCTCAACAGTGACACAAACAACTTAACTTTCAAATTATTACTCTTTCTCATCACGATTAGACTGAACGCTCCAGTCACCCATTAAAAATTGAATTGTTCACAAATCTTACACAAAAATGCACCTCAGGAAATCCCTTGATTTCAGTTCTAGAAGTTCAACTACAAAGTTCCACATGTAATCTTTCAAAAATCTCCCCCCAAATCTGTATTCAAAATTGATGCCAGAACCGTCTAGCATGACATAATTACTTTGTTGCAATGCCTTCAAACTTGTTTATTACGACAGCTTTGCTCACACAAAGTTAGCAGTCATAAGATCAATATGTCCGAAGTCATAAAGTCAATTACCCATTGGAGCCTGTTTGTGTTACATCAGACCATATTAAACGGAATACATACAAAAATATTGAGCTCATCGAACGATTTCATTGAGACAGTGTCTGAAGCAAGGCTGCATATGCATAATGTCATACCACTTCTCAGACGTTCACAAATAAAGAAGACCTCAACTTCACTAAGAATAATCCCGTCTTCCTGCCATATATAACAGAAAAGAGACAGGAATCTTAATCGTCTAGACACGGAACCATTTGGATATAAACCTGACTCAGAAAACATTTGACTAGTTCGTAAGTGATCAGCAAGGTTATTGACTGTCAGTATTCTATTTCATTAACATTGATGATATAAACAGTCCACTTCTGCTTCACTCTGTTATTGTACGATACCACTACAGCAGCTTCATAATCTTCTGATTTAATGGATATTACCCAGTTTCAGGACTGGCCCTTATTTGCTTTCAATAGTAGATGGTATCTCTAATTGAATCATGAATTTTGCAATTTTTGCAGATTTCAACATTATTGAAGGCCAACCCACTATAACCAGCATAAACTGCCAGCTATCAGTCCACTGCCTGGCATAAAAGATCTTGATGGGGGATGCTACAAGACAGACGTCAGGAAGTTTGAAAGACTGTAGTTAGCTGTCATTAGATTTTCTCACTCTGAAAAAATTTAGTAAAATAGAAATGTGAATAGAGGTAAACAAGATGTCAAGTTGAATGTGAATTGTAAGAATAATTTTATTTTTGGTGAACGCAGAACATTAATCTGTCTCCAAGGAAACACTGGGAAAGCTTGTTCTGCATTTATTTCATTACCGCCATTTGTGTTTTGCAAATACCAAATTATGTTTTTGTTAGATCTATTCGATTTTTTGCTCAATCATGACTGACTAGTGTTGGGAATCGGTTGTGATTTCATAATCGATCATCGGTTACAATCGGATTGGCTCAACCGATCAATCATCGGTTAATAATCGGTTAAATGAAATGACAAGAATAACCTCTGAATAAAACATGTTACACAAGACCATGTGTTTGGTATTGTCTCAGACTCCTAAAGGTAAGTAAGTTCAGTTCAGAGACAGATGGTTGAATTTGAACAAAAGAAGAGAAAAAGAATTTGTTCTTTTTATGGTTTATTTTTTATTTACCATCAATGCCAGAGATGCCAACCTCAACAATTTTATCATACTAGTGACTACAAATTTTAGCCTAAAACTACTAATACGTTTCACTAGAAATTCTACAGAAATTGGAAGAACATTCATTGAAATTGAAATATATAGACACAAACATGTATTTTCACTAACTAAGTACAAGACAAATATCAATTATGTTCTTGATTTCGACAAATAAATAATCTCTGATCATTTATGAAATCAACTTTCAGGATTTATTTCATATATTTTATGTTTGCAAGTAGATATATATCCAAAATTGACTCTGACATAGCAAAGTAAAAGGTAACTCAAGTTTTAACACCTGATTTACGATAATTCATGTAACAAGGCCTACATGTCATTCGTTTTCAATAATGTTTTAATTTGTTTGTATGCATTGTGTAGTTTCAAATTTCGTACTGATAGTAATAGACTTAAGAGTATGGACGGATTCATATCATGGACGTATAACATGATGATACTTTTCTATTAGACCATTCACTTGTTAGTATCAATTTAAAATTCATGCAGTCGATACCTTTGTTTATGATATTCCTTCGACAAATCGACAAATTGCCTTTGACATGTCAAGTTTATCCTTCGTTGGGGACCCCTGACATTTCTTCCAAAATCCAAACACTTCCAAGCGTTGGATCTGCCTTTCCCGCAAGGGTAGTTGAATATTTCATCGACATCAACCCGGGTCACAGTCAGCCATTTTGTTTGGCCGAAAGCTAACAACAATTATGATTTGACCAAAACTTACGCTTATTTATCTTAACACATTACTGGCAGATCATTATTTATTTAGACTTTTTGTTCCTTTTGTTTATTTTTATATTCTGCAGCTGGGTTATTATGTATTTAGAATCGTCCGTCATGAACAAGGTAAGCAGCTAAGCAGCAGTTAATGCGCTCATGGAATGAGGTAAACATGCAAGTCATCGCTCTGCCGAGTGTGCATGCCAGTTTGTTGTGATCGACAGCTACAATAAATATGACATGAAGCGAAACAAAATATATACACTGTGTATCCATTTTCAGTCAACTTCACTTCATTTCAAGGCGTAAGTAGACGCAATATGATTGTGAATTTTGTGAATAATGCGGACCGAAGTTATAATCATTTGTAACTGCCAGTTGTCTTGTGGTCTGAGTTGGGTATTCATTACTGTTTTCGTAAAAATCATTAGCGACAATCGATCATGAAATTTTGCAATCGATTGTCTCGTCGGAAAAGGGTAACCAATCAATTTTCGATTATAATCGATCATCGGAACACCACTATGACTGACAGTAAAGATATAAATTACACTTACAGGGGTGGAAATAACTTTAAAATTGCTAGTGTACTCCGGCACAGTGGCACATTTAAAATCACTTGCCCTGATATTTTTTCCACTATACCGGCCGTTTTCTTGTTGATTTTATAAATAAACAAGATAATTAACATTGGAAAGTCAACTGGACACCGGTACAGTGTGATATACAAATTTCCTTGCCCGACAGAAAAAAACACTGGACTCGGATGTGGGGCAATGGGTTATTTCCACCCCTGACTTAGCTGTTTTGATATTCCACATTTCTCTTGAACAATACAAATACAACTCAGCTTCTGTTTCTGACATGGATGGTGCATGACAAGAAAAACAATATGTAACACAATATGTTATGATTGGTTTTGTCATTTATCATTGTGGTGGCGGCAGTAGTGGGGAGAGGTTGTGAAGGTGTTGGGGTTGTGAAGGTGTTGGGGTTGTGAAGAAATGGCATCACAGACTAAGTGTAGTGAGAGCGATGGGAGTTGGATTGGAATGGAGACCCTCCTACGATGCCTGAGTGATGATATGTCATCATGACATGCTCGAAACTCAAGGATGCTATCAATTAAGAATGAACTCATCTACTTAGTTACACACTCATCTCAATCCTCTACTGACTGTATTCACTACACATTCATTCTCTTGCTCATCTGTTCACTAATCCAGTCTCTAACCCACTCATCCAGCAACTGATCTCATTCACTAAGTGAAGAACTGATCTACTCTCTAACCCACTCATCCACTCATTAGCAACTGATCTCATTCACTTCATCAAGAACTGATCTACTCCCTAACCTACTTGTCTACTCACTCAGCAACTGATCTCATTCACTTCCTCAAGAACTCATCTACTCTCTAACCTACTTGTCTACTCACTCAGCAACTGATCTCATTCACTTTGTCAAGAACTAATCTACTCTCTAACCTACACAGTCAAGAACTGATCTACTCTCTAACCTACTTGTCTACTCACTCAGCAACTGATCTCATTCACTTGGTCAAGAACTAATCTATTCTCTAACCTACTTGCCTACTCACTCAGCAACTGATCTCATTCACTTCGTCAAGAACAGATCTATTCTCTAACCTACTTGTCTACTCACTCAGCAACTGATCTCATTCACTTGGTCAAGAACTAATCTATTCTCACTCCTTCCCAGAGTTCCATGAGGCAAGCCAGCATAGTACCTCTGCCACAGGCCAGAAAAATGTGACGATTCGTCACATCTTGCACCGTCCATTCAATACAATTTACTTATTTCTAAACTCTTTTAGTTTTGACGAGTCTACACAACTAATTAAACATCTTTGACAGAATGGGTTAGTTTCATTGAGAAAATATCCAAAAACATGTAACACTATTTCGATTTGCGTAGCGATCCTTTGTTTACATAGGTTGTACGGCTCCACGTGCTGTCATCGAAGCTGATGGAGAGCAAGCGATGCAGCCAGTTTGATATCTAAATATGTACTGTCATAGACCTTACTGTCGCAGTTGTGGAAGAATGTATATGTAACAATGTAAAACATTATGAAGAGAGCGCTGAAAAGCTTTCGTGAGTCCAGTCTCTTCTAATAATGAATATGCGCGTTTGATTACAAACAAGAGAAAAGTCCGGTCACGTGATATGCAAATTAGCCTGTGGCAGTGATGTTATGTTAAGTCATCGCTGTGCCGGAGTGTGACTCACTCAGTGAAGAACTGATCTACTCTCTAACCCACTAAGTGAAGAACTGATCTACTCTCTAACCCACTAAGTGAAGAACTGATCTACTCTCTAGCCCACTAAGTGAAGAACTGATCTACTCTCTAACCCACTAAGTGAAGAACTGATCTACTCTCTAACCCACTAAGTGAAGAACTTATCTACTCTCTAACCCACTAAGTGAAGAACTGATCTACTCTCTAACCCACTATGTGAAGAACTGATCTACTCTCTATCCCACTAAGTGAATAACTGATCTAACCTCTAACCCACTCATCCCCTCACTCCCCAACTGATCAGTAACTCATCAACTGATCCCTACCTGATCAAACTCCCTAGAAAAAACAAGAACATCACAATAGCCACTGACTGACTTTTCCATCCCATCAAACATCCAGTTATTGTTAAAAATGGCCCCACCAACCATCAAATTACAACATTCAATAGTACATCACAAGTTTCAATCATTACATGTGAACATTCCTGAACAGCTAGTATCAAGAAATGATCAGATATATTCCTTCCTTCAAGCTAAAATATCATGAAATACAACACTCCATCAACCACTTCTAATCAATCACAGACTACAGAACAGCTTCTTTCATTCCATCAGAATCATAAATTCACCAGAGATGATAAAAATATATTATCGCCAGAAAATCAGTCAGTTTGATAAAGCTGTTACAATTCCTGTAGATTCAATCAAATTTCTGACTTGTCCCCCCAAAATAATTAGATTTGTAAAAGATTAGCTAAAGGTAATTAAATTTGCTACCAGTTTCTAGTTCATGAATGCAACACAATTTGCCATCAGATTTAAGTTTGTTGGCGCAGAACTAACTGATTCATGCAGCACCTATTGTATCTCCGACACATATTTCAAACAAAATAATCATGAAGTAATAGTGTTAAAATCATTAATATCTTGCTGAGATTCAATTCTGCAACTTGACATCTTACATATTTTAGTCCATTACACCCTGAATGTTACTATGAGATGATCCACCAGTTCATGCAAATTCCAAAATGCAATACCCATTTTACACCACAGGTGTGGGTAAATATAACTATATTGTCTTGTTTTAATGCAATCATTTCTTCTTAAAATGTAAGACAATGTGAGATATATTTTACTTGACTTCTTGGCAAAATGGGTCAATTTTACAATTAAAATGACACTAATTATACATGTAGAACTTTGAAACGTAGACAACAAGTCTGAGGCTAATCCGAAAAACAAACATCTATGGTAACAGTCGCCAAAAAAGGTGCAACTCTAATTGACAAAAACATTGACACTAATAATTGTAAAAATTTTAAGCTTTAAAGGGTCATTAAATCCACCACCTGGTGTGCATATCTTCATCAGGGACACGAAGTGACCCAGTCTACTAGGCACCGCACTTCGACTGACAAAGTTGCAGCCCTTGGGCAGGCTGGAGGTCTGTAATTGTGGGTTCGAGTCCCAGTTCAGCCCTATCATGTTTCAAGGTTTGTCAGTACCATATCTATGATGGTGGGTTTCTTGAAACTGGTAAACATTTATCAACTGATTGTTAAACAAAGCACCAAAGCCTCTTCTTATTCACTGCTGGGCAGTGGGGTAGCCTAGTGGTTAAAGCGTCTGCTCGTCATGCCAAAGACCCGAGGTTTGATTCCCCACATGGATACAATGTGTGAAGCTCATTTCTACTGTCCCCTACCGTAACATTGCTGGAATATTGCTAAAATGGTCGAAACACCATACTCATTCACTCACTCACTCTTCATTGCTGCAAATATCAGTGAAATATAAGGAAGCTTGACTAAGTCATTGCTATCAATTTTACAATATTAACAACGAACTGGGTATGAGCGTAGATCCCAAATAACCAATGCTTGTTGTTTTGATATTGAAAGGATCGAATGGTCAGGATCAGCTACTTGGATGAACCCATGTCATGGTCTCCCAAGATTACCAACTGTATTCCTTGATGCTCATGATGTCAATCACTACACTATCAAGGCTTGGTTATTTACAAAACGTTGCCATATTACTGGAATATTGCTGAGTGCTTCATTACACAACAAACAAAACAGAAACTTATGTAAGCTTTGGGCCTCAGTAAGCAACGCATGCATCAAGCCATCTAAAGACTGGAATATGTGGAAACCACATTAGCAGGGGTGGAAATAACTTTAAAATTGCTAGTGTACTCCGGTACAGTGGCACATGTAAAATCACTTGCCCTGATAAGTCTTCCACTATACTGGCTGATTTTCTTGTTGATTTTTTTAAATATACAACATAATTAACATTGGAAAGTCAACTGGACACCGGTACAGCGTGATATACAAATTTGCTTGCCCGACAGAAAAAAAACACTGGACTGGGGCGTCGGGCAATGGGTTATTTCAAAACCCCTGCATTAGCTGTATGGATCAGTGCTTAGATTGCTGACTTGGTGTGTCTGCAATTAGGTGCCTGATTCTGAAAATCCTGGATGGGACTCATTTCAGATATACCATATGTCATATTTGACCTCTTTCTAAATGGTATTGTGCATTCATAGCTAGAATATTGCTGAGTGCGGCATAAACAGCAACCAAATAGTATTTACATATGTATGGCACTCTTTACTGACTGTGGTGCACTTCAGCTGGATATCAGCCTCTGAACAGTTCTACATAAATCTCTGAAGTTGGTCAGCAAGCAATTCATTGCAGTAATCCTCATTGTAAACCAAAATTCACTGTGTTCTTTAATCTGATTGGTTGAAAAACGTGATCAAATGGTATTCGATTCCCGGAAATTCACTGCGTATTAATACTTACAAACATCGCTCACACCATTGTATTGTTACGTCGTCAGCTGCGATGACGTCATTCAAATCATATTGTGACGTAAGGTCCTAATGACGTCACAAATGAGCAGTTCCAGATGCTACCATGAGAGACAGCCGAAACGGCCGGTTGATGACATTTCACTGCTGTACCCGTACACGATGTCAATGAGTGCAGACACAAAAACATGTGTGGACCTTTTGGTTTACTTTTGTGTTTACAATGTCGATAAACATCATGTGTTGTTAATTTCGGTGTTATTGAGTATTTGAAGCACGGAATATTCCATTTGAAACCTCCGCCTGACGCCGTCAGTTCCAAATGAATTCCCGTGCTTCAAATACTCAATAACACCCGGAAATTGGCCAACACATGATGTTTATCTCCTAATTTAAATCTGTCTAATATACATAGTGTGTCTAAAATTCCTAGACCTGTTATAATATGCATTTGTTTCTATAATGGTACATCTTCTCGGCCATTACTGTGACACAAAAAAAATTAAACATTTCAAAGAATAGAGAAATTGAACATTTAAATTCTTGCAAAGTAAATCAGCCTGAAACTGACAAACTAAATGTAATTTACAGAATCATACTCATGCCTAAGCAATGGCTATAGCTATTTACAAGGATTTTTGTGTTTAACCGATGATGTCCAAATGCCACCGATATATTCACCATACTCATTTCTACTGGGGCTCTAAAACTGAGGCAAATAACACATTGGCATTCATTTTTGTGATTAGCTTAAGTTCCTTTGTCCTAAGGGAGATATTAAACTTCTCATAAATGTATCGCTTTTCGAGTTAAACTAAGTTTTCCAAAGTTCAGAATAGGTTTTCATGTATGTGAACGCTGAATAACAGATCTGTTTTGCAGCCATGGGTACATTTTTGCAATGGTGTATGGAGATGTGGATGTTAACCTTTATTTGTGTCACAATATATTACTTCATAAAATACTGGTTGAAAATACATAAATGCCATATTGGTGATTACGTTGAAAATGTTACAATATGAGTGAGTTTAGTTTAGTTTTACACTGCTTTTAGCAATATTCCAGCAATATCATGGCATGGGACCCCAGAAATGGGCTTCACACATTGTACCCATGTGGGGAATCGAACCCAGGTCTTCTGCATGACAACCAAACACTTTAACCACAAGGCCACCCCACTGCCCTGTTACAATATGATGCGTTATATAAACTCTATTTATCATGTGAAGAACATTCTCCATGAATGTAATTACTCTTAATTATGGAACAATCGATTCTTAAGAAAAATCAAGAAGTATTTTTAATGCCAATAAGACAAACTGGTGTCGTCAGGTATTAAATTCAATAGCACTTTATTTAATTAATTTTATGTCATTTTCATTGTTGATGACCCGTGAAGATCTGGGCTAGTGTTAGCAACCCATGTCTGTTGTAAGAGGTGACTAACAGGATCGGGTGATGAAACTCGCTGACTTGGTTGGTTCATATCACAATTGAATAGATCGGCGCTAACAATGTCAATCACCAAATTGTCTGTCAAGGCATGATTGTTTATAGACCATCATCACATAGGTAAAACAAATACAAACAAAATATCTCATTGATTAATGACTGAACTTCAGAAACACGATAATATTCCCCAAAATCAGAGAATGTGTACAGAATGTAATATATATTCAATAGTATGTAATTTCACATCAATGAAGGACTGCTAATTGACATGTACTAAATATCATAACCTGAGAGAAATGTACACCTAAAACGGTACTAATTTGTTCTTCCATATGTAGATAAATTTGTTTATGTGATGCAATTAGTCAATACAAATATCATTTGTAATGTATCAATGTATACAGTTATTATTTTGTGTCTTTTAGAAAGTAGTTTGTGTGTACAACCTCTCCACATATACATTGTAATACATGCAACACCTTTTATCATTGCAAATTAAAAACACACACAAAAAAAAACAAAAACAATTTAGACATTCAATAACTGAAACAAAATAGAAAAGAAAGTCTAATATCTTTTATGTCATCCATCTTAACTTAATTTCTTTTGGAACATTAAGGTCGTTGCTGGAAACTGTATTTTCAGTTATGTGATTGTGATAGATCTATCCATAGCCATGTTGAGAGTCATCTGGTTTAATGGCACTGTTGTTTTTTAACATTGCCTTGAACACATCACCTCATTCTTCAAGGGCTGCCATCGTGACTCCACCCCTTGAGACAGAAGTGTGTCAGCATTTTTTAAAGACCCCTGCAAACTGGACCTGTTACAGGCTAAACTAATCCAGTTATGTGATTGTGATAGATCTATCCATAGCCATGTTGAGAGTCATCTGGTTTAATGGCACTGTTGTTTTTTAACATCGCCTTGAACACATCACCTCATTCTTCAAGGGCTGCCATCGTGACTCCACCCCTTTAGACAGAAGTGTGTCAGCATTTTTTAAAGACCCCTTCAAACTGGACCTGTTCCAGGCTAAACTTAATCCATAAGTAGCTCTATTACTAACTAATATCAGTAAGCTTATTTCATATGGTTTTAGTGACTACTCTGCAGAAGTTACCTCAAATATTAAAAACAAAGCTCATTTGAAAAATACCAGTTGCCAAAGTGAGTGAGTGAGTTTTGTTTTACGCTGCCTTTAGCAATATTCCAGCAATATAACAGTGGGGGACACCAGAAATGGGCTTCACACATTGTACCCATGTGGAAATCAAACCCAGGTATTCGACCTGATGAGTGAATGCTTTAACCACTAAGCTACTCCACCGCCCCCAGATGCCAAAGAAGCAACTAAGCTCTTGGTTGATTGATAAGTAGGATGAATGAAACCTTTTTCTGTACCTTTGATATAGCTTAGATAACCAAGGCATACGTTCATGTCTACTATCGTCAACAAGAATGGATAATTGTAGTATGGCTGTAAGGACAGTCTGTAATACCATAAGCTGTAGAAGATCAGAAATTTGACATACCTTTTGTTTCAGCTGAGATTTTTGGAAGGTCTCCAGATTCTTGTAACTATGGCCGCCTTTCATCTCCTCTATAGCAAGCAAAATGTCTTCATCTGAACTGTCCACTGCTCTGGAATGTTTGGTTTTCCTTCTGAATACAGGACTAAGATGCCGACACTTTCCTTTCAAAATCTCTTCACGTAATTTTCTTGTAGGTGAGTCAATTTTTCTCACTGGTGAGGCTGGTAGTGATGCACTATGTAAAATTTCAATATCACCACCATTTGTCAATTCTGTCTCCTTGAACAGAGACTTGCCTACCACATTAATGCCCCTGTCCACAGACCCATGCCCAACGGGCTGACCATCATCAAACAGAACCAGGGAAGCAGATGTATCTTCTTCCATCACCAGAGAATCACAGCTGTTCCGTTCTGAAAAGGTCTGTACGTTATTGGTTTCCTCAGAAGGATCAAAGTCTACAGAACCCTGTTGAGCAAGGTATAGGCGCCGTTGAAGGTCCACCACAGTGGGTGCAGTTGGACTGCAATCTCCCACCAAATTATTTTCAAAAGGAAGCTCCGTATTTTCTGGGGTTTCCTCATCAATGTATTTGATTGCCTCGCTGGCTGGATCTGCCCATCTTGGGCTGTCCCCTGGTCGGACATCTGAGGGGACAACTGTGTCTGAGTCTGTGGAACTGGGACTTTGCCTGGGCACATTTGGAGTAGTTGCATCAGTTGAGCTGAGGATGAGTCCTGCCCCACCATTAGCTGGGCCTTGTTGCACATTGGAAGCCTTCACTGAAGCAGTTGCACTAAGCGGGGTACATTTTCTCACTTTGGGTCGAGCACCTTGATTAGCATAGTTTTCTTTCACCACATTGCTGTCACTACCATTTTCAAGCTTAAATGCTAAAGAGTTATGATTCAAACCATTCCTAATTGGAGATAAGGATCTGGATCTTATACTCCCTGAGTGGGAAAGTCTTGTTGGCAAGAATGTGGCATTGGGGGCATCACTATGCCCATTTACAGCACTGCCGACATCCTCTCCTCGACAGGCTTCACCACGAGCTGGTTGAACATCCACTGAGATCTGATTCGCTTGTTGTAAGTCTGTATTAACAGGCATCACCTTATCCACCGGTTCAGAGGTAACCTCATTATCCAGACCATCACTTGTTGCTGGAACATAAAGAACGGTTGGAAAGCATAAGGGGAAAACAGGTCATGAGTTCTTGCAGAATTTCTGCAAAATGGCTACATCACAATTGTCATGAGTTTTCTCTTAGATATTTCCCTTACTTGTAAATAAGTCTTGAGTCACCGGATAAAAGGTCAAAATTTGCAATCCAACTACTGTCAAAATAAGAGAGACCAGACTGGGACAGCAATGATCTTATACCTTTAGCAGACTGTTGTAACCTCTTATATCCTGACACTAGCCATGCAAACATCATAGGTACAGACTAAATACACAAGCTAGACCAGAAAAACATCTTATTCCAAATAAAAGATATCATGAAAACTATTTCCAACCCAGACACAAGATCATGGAAAAATCTTCAAATCTTTGACCACTACCTTCAGACCAGAGAACCACCTTACACCAAAATGCCCCATGACAGAAATAGCTCTAACCCAGAATCACCTTTTCCCAGGCCAAATTATTAAACCATGGAGGTGAGGTGTCGTGCTTGAGAATATTTCGGTCATATGACGACGTGCATGCGTGTGTATGTGTATGTGCGGCTGCTTGTACCAGCCCAGACTTAAGCTGGTTTTATAGTGCTAGCCCACTGAGATACCATGCCGCAGTGAAGCATGAATACCCTACTCAGACACATTATACTGACTCCAAGCCGACCAGTCCTTGTTGTACCCATTAATGCCAAGCGCCAGGCAGGGACCAACAAGTACCATATTTTAACATCTTTTGGTTTGACGTGGTCGGGGATCGAACCCACGACCTTCCGCTCTCTGGGCGGACGCTCTAACCACTACACCACGGAGGCGGTCTAGACCATGGAAACAGGTGACACACCAACTGAACAGAAACATTACCAAGCACTGACAACATCTCATGATGCCAGCCAATTAAATAGTGTCTGACATACATTGCAACCCCAAGAAGATGGGCAGACGATTCAAAAACAGAACAAGCTCTCTTGAAAGTTGGAAACCTGCACTTGAAAATATACACTGGAGCAGATCATCTTTATCATTTTTCTCAGATTTACTTTACTCAATGGGTTGAACATTTACAGCATTAAAATCACAAAGATGGCATTTATCTCGCAGCAAGGACATTTTCTTGAGGACAGTCGAGCAAGTTACATCAGTTACCAATATTCCACAGAAATGTTACAACTGGCAGAAGCAACCTGGATACTGAATACAAATGGAGTTAAAGGATCAATGCATTACAGCCATGTTTCAAGGTAATAAATATTGTATGGCAAAACAGATGTTTCTGGAAATCAGAACCAGGATAAATAAATCTCCAAAAGCACCAACTGAACAGCAATAATGATGATATATTCCTATCTGATATAGGTCCATAAAAACTTAAGAAACACATCCTGCATTTATAGCATCCTTATCCATCACAACCCTTTTCACACAACACAAGAAAGGCCACTGTGTCTCTGATCTGACGCCAGAGAGACCTAATAAATCCTCAGATTTCACGTTTAGTGTTTTTTCTATTAATCTAATCATTCACATCTCATGTGAGTGGCTGCAAAATACTATCCTGCTTCTTACACAAACAAAAAATATGAAAAAGATAGCTTTAGATAAATAATGTGAAGCTGAAAGAATACACACACTTCCTAACAAGAACAAAAACATTTGTCTCAATGGTGAGGCCCTAGAAGGAGAGTGAGCCAAAATGTAACATCCCTTTGACAATATTTCAGCAACTCAGTGTCCACTGTTATTAAGTGGGTCCAGATATAATGTCCCATTGGCGATATTTTATCCACATAGTGATCCCTATGTTATAAGTGAGTGAGTCAAAATGAAACATTGCATTGACAATATTTCAGCAACTCAGTGATCACTATGTTATTAAGTGGGTCCAGATATAATGTCCCATTGGCGATATTTTATCCACATAGTGATCCCTATGTTATAAGTGAGTGAGTCAAAATGAAACATTGCATTGACAATATTTCAGCAACTCAGTGATCACTATGTTATTAAGTGGGTCCAGATATAATGTCCCATTGGCGATATTTTATCCACATAGTGATCAATATGAGTTCAAAATGAAACATTGCATTGACAATATTTCAGCAACTCAGTGATCACTATGTTATTAAGTGGGTCCAGATATAATGTCCCATTGGCGATATTTTATCCACATAGTGATCCCTATGTTATAAGTGAGTGAATCAAAATGAAATATTGATTGACAATATTCAAAATGTAGTGTCATAATGGCAGTATTTCAACTACATAGAGATTGCTGAGTGAGTGAGTCAAGATGTACTATCACATTGGAAACATTTCAGTCATGGTGATCACAATCTTTGAGTCAAAATTTCAATTCTCAGTGAAAGGGCAGCCACAATCTCAATAAACCAGCTCTTGCAAAACATTCATTTCCAATATTTTACATATAAGTACAATGTACATGGAAGTCTATAGGGCAATATAATCAGGTGAGTCACATTTTGTGAAATAAGACCACATATAAATGGACACATGAAAATGACAAATACATGAATCGATATGTGCAGAATATGACAACAAAACTACTTGTCTAACACCATCAATAGCTGCATCAACCCAGCTCCTGATCTACACGAAACACAATTTACCCTTTATCTAAGACAAATACCAAGCATAACTCAATGAAACGAGACACACACTCTACCTTTTCTCTTAGACTAGTACCAAACATAAGTCGATGATTGAGTGAGTTTAGTTTTACACCACTTTTAGTAATATTCCTGCAATATCACGGCAGGGGACACCAGAAATGGGCTTCACACATTGTACCCATGTGGGGAATTGAACCCAGGTCATCGGCATGATGAACGAATGCTTTAACCACTCAGCTACCCCCGCTCTCATACGTTGATGATAAAAGGCAAACAATGACATCAGTGTTGACTCTCATGCTTGGATAAACACTACCACCAGTATAGCTCTGAAATTTCTTTATGATTCAGGAAATAGGATAGAGAACTTTGACAACGGGCCATTTTCAGGATTATTAACCATTTTCTGAATTTAGAATGGACCACTGCCCTTGTATGAATAGTAAACTTAACAATTTTAATGGGCCATTTGTTATTCTAACGTGCAAAATGGCCCATGGCCCCTGCCTTTCCCAATCCCTGTGATTGGATCCTGTGCCATTAGTGATTTCATACAGCTGAATACTGGGTGAGATCCAGGGTAGATACGTGATAGGAATAAATGAGTAAAACTGATTCTGTATCAAAACAAACTTACAAATATTTACTGATACAGAATGTTTATATTTAATAAGTTGACAATGATAAAGCAGTTATTTCAAGTTCAAACATTTAATAGATCAATCAAAGTTTATATCTAGCATAAATTTATTTACGTAGGTCTACATAGATGTTTTTCTTGTCTCTAAACATAGAGAATAATCAATTATATTATTACTTAATACATTGTAATAGTCTTGAAATGATATTTAGACCTTCAAGTTGCCAAACAATTACACTTATACCATTGGTCATATCCAACAAGTATTCTTGTCATTCTGGTTTGCATACATGTAAAGTAACTGAATTTGTTGTTTTTGTCAAAACCACCGTTCCCCTCAAATTTTTGAATGATAATAACAGATTTGTAGTCATGTCTGTTCCTGGAAACCCCAAATTTTAATCAAGGCATGCAACAGCAAGTTCTATCTACCACCAGAGTAAAGAGGACAGTCAAGAGCTAACACTATGTAAGGTGAGGTGAGGTGAAATTGGGTTTAACGTCATGCTTGAGAATATTTCGCTCATCTCACGACGTGCATGCGTGTGTATGTGTAAGTGCGGCTGCTTGTACTAGCCCAGACTTAAGCTGGTTTTATAGTGCTAGCCCACTGAGATACCATGCCGCAGTGAAGCATGAATACCCTACTCAGACACATTATACTGACTCCGAGCCGACCAGTCCTTGTTGTACCCATTAATGCCAAGCGCCAGGCAGGGACCAACAAGTACCATATTTTAACATCTTTTGGTATGACGTGGTCGGGGATCGAACCCATGACCTTCCGCTCTCCGGGCGGACGCTCTAACCACTACACCACGGAGGCGGTCACACTATGTAAGGACATATATAATGATACATATATTCACTGGCATACTGATATATAAGTGTAGTATTCCTACAAGCATGCTTTAAAGGGTGACTGACTGACTTTGATCTTAATGCTATTTGCCAACAGTCTTTCAGCCCTCTTGCTGTTAGTGTCACTTCTAATGTAGTCAGAAGACGTGGTTGCTGGATCTCTTTACAGTACTGACTGTGACTGTGAAGGTCAAGGTCACATGCCTTAGTCACTTTAGTGGAACCTATTTGTTTTGGCATGGTGATGAAGAACCAAAGATGATGATGCTGATGTTGATGATGATGTTTCACAACATTGTCAATACCCAGATCTATGCATCTACCATACTTGTTGGTAACTAGAGGTAGGCATACCTCGGCTGAATGTAGGAACAGCCAGTCAGGTTATCGATGTAGAATAACACACCCAAGCAGTGCGGTAACACCTGATCTGACCGCCTTTCAACCATGTCATCTATCTCATGCCTATTGGTCTTCACAAACCTTGTTACCTCTACAACAACATGGATCCTGAGTTTCAATCCTGCATCCCATACAGTAGACACGAGACGTACCAACACAGAGTCTACCCATCAGTCTACTGAATCATGCTGTAGTAACCTTGGACCTACACTTACAAGACGGTCGTCATCCTCGCTCATGCCTGCTGGAGTGAAGTTGGGGTCCCGAGACAGCTGCTGGCTGCTTCCACAGAGCTCACAGAGGGTGATGGTCATCTGACGTGGCTGCAGGTGGAGGAGGCTGGTCTTGTAGACGACGTGCCCAAGCATCTCTGGGAGGTAGGAAGCACACCCAACCAGCTGGAACTTGGTGCCCCAGATGTTTGACGTAACTTCTACCAGTTTACAACTCTGGAAGAGAAAAACATTCGTGAAAATTAATTGAAACTTGATAGCTTAAATATGTACACGTGTCCAGGGACTATTAAAATTTGGTAAGCACAAGTTGGAGTTTGTTCAAGGTAACTTCTACCAGTTTACAACTCTGAAAGAAAAGAATATTTTTGAAAGTTCTTTCAAACTTGATTGCGTAAATATGTCCACTTGTCCCAGACTATTGCAATTCAGCAAGCACAAGTTGGAACTTGTTGCCCCAGGGCCCCGTTCCTCGAAGCGATCGTAGCGCTAAGGTGATCGTAACTCCCATACTTTAACATAGACTTACGACTGTCGTAGCGCTACGATCGCTTTGAGGAACGGGGCCCAGATGTTCAAGGTAACTACCACCAATTTAGAACTCTTTATTTGAAAATGTTTCAAAGCTAAAAGGTTTGACAGGATAATATGTCCCGAATCAAGTGCAAACTTGGCAAATACCTGGTTAAATCCGCCCTTGTTACAACTTGTGGACTAATTGTATGCAAACACGGTGTCTATACCTGAAATTCATTATTTCGGCCAGTTTGCTACAATTTGTTTTGCTACGATAAGGGATTGCATCTGTCAAAGACGAGAATAATTTTATTCAAAGCACTATCAATAACTGTAACTGTTAGCAGCTCTGAAACCAAACTGACATTGATGAAAGTACTAATTATATAAGTGAATTCCTGATCCTGTTTTTCTCCAGGATGAGTTGGCAGCTCATTGTTGAGAGTACATTGGATATATTCCTGGCTTGCAGTGATTGGATTACTACCAATTACACAAGAGAGGAATGATGTGTTTTTCAAATTTCTTTCAGGACAGGAAATTTATGACTTTCAGTTATCAGATTTCCTGAAGGCAGCTCTGAAAGAATTAAATGAACCTCGTAGTAAGGAGCACTAGATTCTTTGCAGGTCGTCAGAGGCGATTAAATGAACTGGGTGGTCAGGCCCCGAGAAAGCATGTCCACATACCCTAACGGCATGGATCGTTGGATCAGTCTGGTCCAGATTCAATTATCTACAGATTTCATCTTATGGTTGGAATAATGTTCAGTAGTGTTAAATAACAAACAAACAAAACAGTAAAATGTGTCTAAAAATGTTTAACCAAACAATAGACTTTAAACTAATGTTATTCAAACTCTACACATGGTCTGTGTGGAGCATATGCCCACACTGATTAGTCAGCAGAAAGTATAACTGGTATTTGAATGACTCAAACGCAACTTGCTAATCAAGTTAGTTCTTCAAGGTGTGGAGATTATTCAAATTAATACAGTGACCCCATAATCTGTTCCCTTAATTCATATGAGGGAGAAAATCTGTTATTTATATATTTCGAGACAATATTTCATAGCTGCCTTAGACATATATATTTATATCACATCATGACACTAGTGTAATGATACATTCACTTCAGCTGTGCCACCTGTAAAAATATCAACCTTTCTTTGGGTTGCAAGATGAGGTTATATATTAAGTTGTATAGCGGTAGTTTAAAGGTTAGACATCTGGGTGCCGTTGTACAAAACAACCTTTGTGCTAAGTCTATGTTAAGGTATGGGAGTTACGGTCACCTTAGCGCTAAGATTACTTTGTACAACGGCTCCATGGAAAATAGCTCAACAACATCTATTTCCATGATAAAACATTTCTGAAAAACATATATCATGTACTTATTTTCTTTCTTTCTTTTTTTTCCACAACGTGACATCCATATTTGGATGCAAAAATACAGGATTATACTCTTCTAGGAACAATAGTTCTTTGACATCCCCAATAATTGTTATCCCACCTCTTCTCATTAATTAACTGTTAAGGTCCGGGTTAGAATGTACCTTCAGTAACCCATGCTTGTCGTACGAGGAGACTAACGGGATCGGGTGGTCAGGATCACTGACTTGGTTGACACATGTCATCGGTTCCCACATGCGCAGATCGATGCTCATGCTGTTGATCACTGGAAAGTCTGGTCCAGACTCGATTATTTACAGAACGCCGCCATATAGCTGGACCGACTGACTGACTGAGTTTGGTTTTACGCCACTTTTAGCAATATTCCAGCAACATCGCGGCGGGGGACACCAGAAATGGGCTTCACACATTGTGCCCATGTGGGGATTCAAACCCGGGTCTTCGGTGTGACGAGCCAACGCTTTAACCATTAGGCTACCCCACCACCCCATATAGCTGGAATATTGCTTGAGTGTGGCATAAAACTGAACTCATTCACTCAGTCTTCTCATTAATGATATGACTAAGTATTTGTGACCAACTGGAGCAACAGTGTCCTTGTACCCCATTTTTCATTCGTTTTTCGTTTAAAGATTAAACACTGATTTCAATATTCAATAAGTAAAGTCAGCCTGTAAATAACTTTTTTGAGTGGTATTTTGAAGACGGTGTGATGAACAACGGGGAAAGTTCTATAGATATATAACTTCTTTATCAAAATATAAGAGACGTTTCGTTGTAGCTCTCGACACCATTATCAAGCTAGTAGTTGCACCGAAACATTGCTTACATTATAATAAAGAAGCTGTATTATCCATAGAACTTTCCCCATTGTTCAGCCTGTAAACACTTGAATCTGGACAAGACATGTGACTAATATTATGAGCAACAACCTATATTGTCACATCATTCATTTTTCATTTATTGATTAAACACTGATATAGATATTCATCAAGTAAAGCATGCTTGTTAATGATATAACCTGGACCAGACAGTGACTGATATTATCAACAACAGTGTATGTTGTGAAGGTAAAGTGATACACAATGAAGTCAATCACAGAATCTGCCCATCCAGTCCATTTGTTTGTCTTCCATGAAAAGCATAGATTAATGGGAACCAATTCTAACCCAGAATCTCCTCAGATGACAATATTTTATCAGGTATTAGAGGTAATTTTAGACAAAATGAAGTTTATGTGTCGCTATTGCTTAAATATTCACGTGAAAAATAGTTAAGGTGGTATAATGATATAATAATGGCTGTTTATAAAGCACCTGTTTCCAGCCACTTGCTCAAGGCGCTAACACATTATTACCCCGGATAACCAAAGCTGCCTGTGAGGCAGGCGCTGGAAGGTTAACAGTCATATGACTTATTCCACCGGGTACCCATTCACTGCTTGGTGAACAAAGGTAATTAATGAACAAACTCACTTGCCTAGGGTGAGACCACATGTGTCATGTGTGCTTCACACATGGTAACTGATTCATCAATATCATACACAGATCTTTCCAGAAGATATACGTTTTTCCAGATGATATCAAAACAAAACAAACAGACGGTGCTTATATGTTTTTCAGGTGTAAATATCAGTAACTGTTAAGTACTTTAGATGAAAGTTAGCACGAGGCAGGTTCAAAATGTTGCCAGTGATATGCCATTAGTTACTGTACTCTATCAATGTCAGAGCTCCTGATAAGATTTGCTCATGTGGGTACTGTACCCACTGTATTTTATTGGAGTGAGTATTATGAATGTTGAGTGAGTACTTCATTTTCCGTTACCCACTGCTTTCAAATATGTGCGTATTTCAGTCATTTTACTCACCTAAGTATTATGTCATTGAGTAAGTTTACTAAGCAGGTATGTTCTGCCTTATGTCATACCTAATCAAACCCAAATTAAACATAATGTAAATGATTTCATAAAAAAACACTGATCCAGTACCAGGCCTATACTAACAGTACAACTTGATAGCAATCGATGTCTTTTTCATTACGCAAGCGATTTTTATAAATATATTCCGTACGCATTTGTTTTAAACTTTTTTGCGTATCTAACATTTAAATGCGGAATTGGTATGCAACAATTATTTTTCAATGCGTAATTGGAAATTTTCTATGCGTATTTTACCCAGGATATGCAGCTTATCTGGGCCTCTGAATGTTATAGCTGCAGGCCTATTATCTTCAGAAATAGCATTGATTCTTAATCAAAATACATGTATACAGGGAGTTAATTATTGATGACAATGAGTTCAAAACAAGGCCTCTATAAAGTTCATTCACAGTTCAGGTAGAAATTCGATCTACATTTGTCCAGCAAATGCATGTGTTAGAATTGATGTGGCTGGGGTAACTTTACCTCCGTGCTAACTTGTCGTTCAGCTCTCGTGACAAATGCAACATGATCAATTTTCTAGGATACTTGCCTTCAAAACTGTGTACACATATTCTTGGTGAAGAAATGTTCTATGTACTTATCAGGTTGGAATCTTTAATAGGGATCATTGACAGGGAATCTATCAGGAAAACACAATGAGATGGCTGTAGTTCTATGAAGAGACAAATCAACGATAATCATTTACAGCCCTATTGAGGTACAGTTACCGCAGCTAGATTTGATGTAAGGCAGAAATAGTGTAGTTCAGTTATATCTCCGTTCATTGAGTGAAGAAGCTAATGGTGATAGAGGCTGACAGACTGAAGACATTTACTACTTAGATAGATCTAAGCATGTGTATTATACCCAGGAATAAGTAGGGATCATAAAAGCAAAGCGACAACTCTTATTGGTAACTTGAACTCTCATGGGGGTAAACAATCCCTTCTTAGCCCAAATTTAGCCCCAATCCAATTCCAACTGCTACTGCTGAACTCAATCCTCAACCTTGGATTCAAGTAAGGACTTGGACATGATCAGTCTAAGTAAACTTAGGCTCAGTATTATTCGTTACACTGCTATATTGAGTCTAACAAACCCTTGTGGAAGGTCGCGTCAGGTAACCTTTGAGCGACCTATGACCATCCAATCAAACACGAGACGAGAGAACGGATTTAACCAATCAGACAACGGCTACTATTTAGGGTTTGGGACTTACAAAAAGGATTTACTTTTCCCCGGTCGTTAACACTGATCACACAACAAATGAAAACCTGCATAAAACACAGATATATGACCTACAGAATATACGCTTTTGACATGGTTATCATTAGCTAATATTTCCGCAAGCTGACATCCTTGAAT